CCTTTTAGGCATGATCAGCATATGTGCATTATTGTACATGATAGCATGATTAGAAGCACCGAAAGCAGGAGTAGTACACATGGAGTCAGTAGTGTGGGCCCATACTGCCCAAAGGTTGTACGAAGTCTATGTCCACAGAATGAGAGGTGTAGAGGTAAGAAATAAGATCACAAATGTGGGGTATATTGATGAGGAACTAGTCCGATAAGGTTGTGTACAAACTGCGGGTCAAGTGAGTGAAGCATAAGGAAAGAGCTGCAGGAATATATAAGGACAGTGGCAAGTAACAGATCAAATATTTAGGTGGGTTCGTACGGAGGCAGATTCACACACAGAATTTGTAAATCGTCAATCCTGCCTCATTGTCCTCAATTGCAGCAGCCGAGACCACTCCAAATGATTTCTAGACCACACGTTCACCATAAGACAGCAATCGAACATCGGACCAGTACTAATTAAACAGGACATCAAGCCACGCAAGTGGAGCTGATGTCAAACGGACGAACACCATGTAAGCAGAACCTGCGCAATTTCATAACTATGAAAGCATCCTCCATATTTCCAGCCACTATTTCTAACGAGTACTTAGCTTTGCCCCTAAAAATCTCTAACAGCCAGTCATGACAAACCTTACTGAATGGTCCCTAGGAACCGTAGCCAAGGCCGTAGCCAATGCCATTACCTACGTCACCACTTTTCAGCTGCAGCGAGCCCTTGTAGGTAGCATACACCTTTGTGCGAGGAGGCACTCCATATCGCTCCAACTCTTACTCCCTTGAATTGCTTGCATCAACTAACTTCGCTTGTTTTGTTGACTTAGTCTGTCACTGTAGTATCCACTGGTAATTAGAACGCTTAATCCGAAGACCTTTGTCGGCTACTGATCCTGTCTGCACCAGCGCCACTATCTGTCGCGCTTCTTATCTTCCTCACCACTGCAGCGATTCGCCCCAGGCTCCGTGTCCCTTCTGCGCTGATTTTGAGCTTGCTAGGATACACCCCCTGTCTCCCCATCATGCATTCTCTTGGAATGTTTGTATCACTTACCTTCGCTGGCTTGTTGAGACATTCTGTGACCATGTAGGCATAAATTAGTGACCAAGCGTCTTACTGATACGTCTACATCTGGCCACTGGTAGTCTTTCCCAACTCCAGCATCTGTCGGTCGTATTAAATTCGTCACCTCTGGTTAGAAGTAGCTAGTGGTCGTAGGCTCCCTGCATATGTGATTAACCGGTGCCTGTTAGGAGCCACTTCCTATCTCATCAACCAGTATTCCATTAGAATAACTGCATCCAAGCTTTCCGCTGACTTATCACCAATTGACTTTCGAGCTCTCTCGCGGCAACCTAATTATTTTTTATTGTCTTATTCTTCGCTCTTTATTGTATTAGGCTAGCTACTTGCTGTTCATGCACCTTGCAATCACCACCAGTCTTCTGACCCTCTTTGCTCTCTCCCCAAGCAATTTTTGCCTCATACTAAACTGATACTTCGTGGATTACTTACTGGTACAACGCTCTTGTCTCTAAGCAGGCGTTAGCCATCTACCCACACGGCCAATGATTCGGTAGGACATTCAAATGACACTTTCAGCATAATCATTGTTGCACAGTGTATATGCTTTTGTCTCAACTCCAAATGTTGTAACGTATGATTTTAAAAATGTTTAACGCTATGCCTGCTCTTGCGGTCTTCTCTCGGTTCTTCCTCAATTTCGCTTTTCTCCGATGTCCGGAACATCTTGGAGATCTGGGATTGAACTGTGGAACAGATTTTGCCCAAGACGGACGTAACAACCAACAAGGACCTACATGAAACATGGTTGTACACCAAAGGGACTCAACTACAATCACCACTACCGTCGCCAAGTATGCAGAGCTGGATACATCTTCCCACTTCCATAACTTATACATCTGCAAAATCCAGACTGCAGCAAAGTTGAACTTTTGCTCACCTGGACTCACAATAAGCCGACTATTCGCGGTGTTCCCATCCTCAACCGGCTGCAGCAATTCTGGCGTCCCTGATCAAATTATCTGTCTAACCAACAGAAGAACTTAGAAGCTATTTGACTGCGAATAACCGAATATGAAAGCAGTCGTCAAGAGGCTTTGCCAGGTATACAGTGGTGTTCAACATGCTTTACGGCAGTGTTACAGGACGTGATGAGTTTACGCCTGGCAAGCGTCCTCCCTATAAAAGCCACAAATGTTTGTTTAACAACATTGCGATGTGGCGGATGTGCCTCGCCACTTAATAAAGTCACTGCCCACAACTACCTACAAAGAGGATTCTTCTTGAAGCCCCCATCCTCGATTCGCCTCAGCCATTATGGCGGCCTTGCCCAAGATACCTGCCCAAATAACAGAGAAAATTGAAGGTCATTTGACTGCCGATATCTGAGGTTGAAATCAGTCGGAAACCTGGTCTGCCAGTTATATATTAGTGCACCAACAAATTTCTGACAGTGTTCCAGGACGTGGTGGGTTTTTGCCTGACAAGCGTTCTCCCTATAAAAAGCCACAAATGTCCGCGTAACAACACTGCAACGTGGCGGATGTGACTCGCCGCCGAATAAAGTCACTGCCCAGAACTACCTACTGGCAAGTCGACCAGAATCATTATTCAATATTGCCCTGACACGTTCAATACTAATTTACACCATGCCTATATGTATCGTTTTCATCACACATGTAGTGCCCTGACTGTTTACACTACGCACGCTAGAATTCAAGGTTTCGTCATTCATCGATGACTCTATCCCTCATGGCTACTTACACAATTTCCGCAGCCTGTACAACCTTCGGCTTACTGCCGACTACACTCATAGCAACGTGTTTGTTGCGAAGCAACATTGCATGTAATTATTGATCACGCCTTGCTTGGTGTGTCTCGACAAATTCGAAAATAAACTATTTATTTATTTATTTATTTACATACTGGCAAGTCGACTAGACTCATATTTCAACTTTTCCCGATACGTGAAAGAATAAGATACGCTACGTCTACATGCACCGTTTCCTTGCACTTATAGTGCCTTGACCGTTTCACCTATGCACGATTGAACCTAAAGTAGCGTTATGATACGAAACTGCCTATAAATCTTGATCATGCCCGAGTTGGTGTGTCTCCATAAATTTGAGAATAAACTATTTATTTAATAATACCACCTATACAACACCAATCCCGAACATGCAATTAACTAGTATGCACATGAACGCAACCCCCATAACAAGCTCATCAATGGCGTACAACGTTGACATGGACTTGTCACAACCACAAATAGATGTTAGTGGAATAGAGGACCCTGCAGATGAAGGTCAGGCAAAACTTACGGCCACATCGTATGCAAGCATGGACAGGACAGAATGCGGCGATAAGCCCATCAGCGTGTCTGAAAAACAGGACATGTATACTGAACTCAATAGCATAAGCTTCTTGTCATCATATACTCCGTTTTCCAGTATAGTAAAGAGTCTCGCTCAGCCTGACAGAGAAAAGGTCACAAGTTAAGTTGTCCTAACCCAGGCTGTTTGATAACTGTTTTTCCTCTGCTCCCTTCAGATCTACAAAGGCATAGCAACGAAGCAAGGCTCAATACCAACAAAAAGGCTAAGCTAACACCCCGTGTTTACCAGACAAATCCCGACTCCTGACTACTTGTTTTAGACCGATGTCTAGTATATCTACAGCCAAGATTAATCAGCAACACCTTAAGCATTACCTCCTCGTAACCCCTAGCTCAACAGTGGGTAATTGGAATAAACGCTAACCCCATACACCGCCATTTTATGTGAGATGCCACTCTGGCAAATCCAAACTCGATACCGAAGTAAGCACGAGAATACAGGCGAGTCAGATCGGCCGAATATAATTTGGTCTCCATCCCTTCGGTACGAAGCGAATTCTAGTACAGCGACAGCTAGGAATGAGCGGCTGAAAGGTAAGCATTACCTACTCAGAACCTCAAGCTTCGCGAAGCGTAACCAGATCCAATATAAAAATCCCTACACTACCGACCGAAATGCAATGCTGCATGGACGAAGCCCAATTAGATACGTTGTCCAGACCAACTATACGATTGTAGCCAACACAACACATCCGGGCAACATTAGGCTTTTACTCCCTCAGTATGAAGCAAACTCCCTTACAGTGACAACCAGAATGGAGCAGCCGAAACGTAAGCATTACCTACCCAGAACCCCAGGCCCCGTATTGCCTCTCCAGACCCTGTGCAACATCCGATACACAGTTGACCAAACACAAACTTCACGAAGGCGAAACCTATAAGGGCACAATGAACTGATTAATTCGGCACATGACATGCTCCCCCATTCACCCATCCCACCACGCCAGTTAACACCCCGTCAACAACACACCATTGCGTCGCGAATCATGCGGACACCTTCTGCGGACCCATTTTATGGAAGGCTGCACGTTGCGAGTCACCTGTTCAAGTTCGCAAGCGTCAAGTAGCGGCTTTATACCAACTGACTCGCTTCTTAGACATGTCTCAGCTGCTTCCATGCAACCTACCTAAGGCAACTGGACCGCCTGTCGTTGGCGGTTAGCCAAACTCACGGCCGACTTCGAGTGAGATCGTCCAGCTCACATACATCATCAGTTAGCTCCATCTACCTCCACCTACCTCCACCTTGGACACGCTGCTCCATACTACTCTCAATCTCTCCCATTACATTTTACTGAGCTACACGGTATGCACTTTAAAGCATGCACGCACACAAACCCCTAAGCACATGCTGTTGCTTCACGGTAAGACAGTACGAAATTTTCACTAAGACCTTACCACCACATCATTTGGAAATCATTTTCCCTACTACTCGGTGCGGCATTGCGATGGCTTTTTTCTTAGAAAAACTTATAGACATAGCGACTTGTGAGCTTTATGTAATCAGGTCAGGTCAGGTCAGGTCAGATGGACGATAGAGGCTTCCGCCTAACGAGCGTCCAGTTCTTGTGCCGGTAAGTGAAGCGGCCCCCGGCACTTCGACGTTGGATTGTCTCTTCTTGCTTCTGCAATGGAATGAAGCAAGAACAAGAGCAATCTCTGCATTTTCATATGCCAGCATCAAAATACACTATATATACCAGTACAACTACAATAGCTCTGGAAAAAGGATGGACCAACAATTGTCTAAGCCCCTTTTGAAGGCTACCACGGTCTCAGACTCCACTAAATCAGAAGGAAGTTTATTCCAGTAGTTAACTACTCGGTTCGTAAAAAACTTTGCCCTGATGTCCAAACGAGCTCTATGATGTTTGAGCTTCAGGCGATGCCCGCGCAGATGGTCTGACGTAGCCAACTCAAACAGATGGGTGGAACTAATACCACTAAGTCCCTTAATGATCTTAAACGTCTCTATCAAATCCCCTCTCAACCTGCGCCGTTCCAAGGAAAATAATCCTAAGCTACTTAGACGATCTTCGTAAGACTTCCCTCGTTGACCTTCAATCATCCTGGTCGCAAGTTTCTGAATCTTTTCTATACAAATGATGTCACTCCGGAGGTACGGTGACCAGGCCTGAACACAATACTCCAGATGTGGCCTGACCACTGCTTTATATAAGGGCAAGAATACTTCTGCTTTAGTGTTACTCAGCGCCCTCCTAAGACGAAATAACTCGTGTCGTGCTTTGTTGGCAGCATGGCGACACTGTGCCGAAGGCTTAAAATTGTTCGCTATGATGACACCTAGATCACGGGCTTCGTCAGTACACCGCAATGATAGAGATCCCACAGAAGACTGAACTGCAATTCCGCTACCACTACTAGTCAATAGTTGACATTTGTTGGCATTTAGAGGTAGGTCCCATTGGCTTGACCAATTCGCCACAGTGATGATGTCCTTAGCCAATGTCGCTCGGTTTCCCCTACTGACTAGCTTCAAGTCATCTGCGAAGATGTAGCAGGGATCCTCAAGAAGAGGAGCCAGGTCATTTATAAACATAAGAAACAGCAATGGACCCAGAACCGAACCTTGGGGGACACCACTGTAGGCATGGCCAACACTAGAACTCGCTTCCCCAACGCTGACTCTGAATGTCCTTCCACGTAAGAATTCAGAGAGCCATAGTAATAGTTGAGGATGCAATCCAAACCATGTCAGCTTCTCAATTAAAAATCGATGGTTCACGGAGTCAAAGGCTTTACTGAAGTCCAAATAGCACACCTCTACCGATATCCCACCATCAAGACAACGGGTAATCTCGTCTAAAAAGCACAATAGATTGGTAAGACAAGACTTCTTTTTGAGAAAGCCATGCTGTTCCGCTCTAATTAGATTGTGCTCAGTCAAGTGCTCACAGATCCTGTTCCTTATAAGCTTTTCCAAGCATTTCAGCATGATGCTGGTCAAACTAACAGGTCTATAGTTAAGAGGCACCGACTTAGAACCCCCTTGTGGATGGCAACAATAGTCGCCTCCTTCCAATCACGTGGCAGCTTGCCTTCTTGAAGAGACTGGTTGAATAACTCCGCTACGGGATACTGAAGGATATCAGCCAGCGGCTTAACTATGGCGGGATGTACGCTATCAGGACCAGCTGATTTATAAGGGTTCAAACTGGCCAGCACTGTGAAGACCTCTGACACATTGAGAATAATTTCCCGCATTGTGTAGCTAGTTGAGCAGTGCGGCTGTGATGGCAAGGCTGACCCACTATCCTTCCGATGCAGGCTTTGGTAGACACGTAGCAGCACTTCTACTTTATCGACGTCGTCTACAGCCTGGGTACCGTCCTCCATGGTTAGACAGCCGACCACCTCTCTTAGAGAAGCCTTTGACTGGACATAACTGTAATAACACTTGGGATTAGTTTTCGCGAATTTAGCCAACCTAAGCTCATATGAGTACTTCGCCTGCCGCTGTAACTTAATAGCCATGTTTCGACACCTTTTGTACTGCAGCCAACGTCGAAAGCCCCGAGTTTCTTGATATTTTCTCCACTCAGCATTGCGCCTCTTTATCGCTCTATCAATTTTTCTTCTCCACCATCGGGGTTTCCCAAAATGTCTCCTGGGGCGAAGAGGAGCAAATTCATTCAGCAACTGTACAAGTCCACTTTTAAGTAGAAGCCACCTCTGTTCCAAAGTGGCCTTGTCCTGTTCAGGGACCCAAGTGATCTGAAGTGCTCGATCCCGCAGCTTCGTAAAATCAATACGATTTAAATCTCTTCCCATTCGACGGTTCTCTGCAAGCCTCGGTGTGTCCAGAGAAAAGGTCAAAACACAATGATCACTCTTACCTATGGGTGGCTCCACGCATAGGTCAATCAAGTGACCATGTCTGGCGATCACGATATCAAGGGTTGAAGGGGTACTCCCAGTACGACTCCTAGTCGGGACATTGACGTATTGCTCGAACGCATTTACATGCATCCAATCTACTAGTTCCTTCTCTAAAGTTCCCACTCTGTTTTCAGCATGCTGCCAATCAGCATGCGGAAGGTTTAGGTCACCGACGATCAGAAAATTAGGTGCGGCCATTGCCGCCTGTCTTAGTAACGTACCAAGATCCCTGTCCTCTTCTCGCGTGGAGGATGGGCTACGATAAACACATACTATAATCTCTAATCTACCTCATGCTCTTAGATAACAGGATACCACCTGAACATTAGCAGAACTCATGGTAAATGGAGCCTCCCAGTGTTTATATTGGCACTTTATAAGCAAGAGTACTCCTCCACCAGTCTGATACCCGGGCCTGTCAGCCCTGTAGCACGCAAAGTCTATAAGCAGATCACCAATAAGGTCATCTGGAGAGAGCCAGGACTCCGACACAGCGGCCACATCAACATGCTCACAACGCGTCACTAATTCCCCCCATTTGTTACGCACACTACAACAATTAGTGTACCACACGCTTAGTCTCTCCGAACGCGGTTGTTTCCCCTCGGACGTAGAGCCCGAGGGATACCCCGTTTTTTGTACCATTTCATTTCGATCAGCTGCATGAGTCGATGAATCAACGCTGGGCTGCTGTAACGCATTACGGGATAATCCCTTTCCTGGCTTCGCCCGCCTGGGCTTGCTGGATAAACTCCCGACGGGATTCCTCCCATTTACCTGAGTCAACCTAACAGCACTGGACTTCGGATTTTCTGTACGGTCCAATTTAGGTGTGGCAAGTTTTTCATTTATCCTATCATTTTGTGAAAAGGGCATAACACCCATGGACTTTGGTGCCACTACTATCGAGCATGAGGCCTCGATTGTTTTTGAGCGCACCGGCTGAAGTCCCATTGCCACACCTTCACTACCCTCTTCCGCCATAGAGGTGTGATTCACATTTCCATCAAGAGCAAGTTTCTCCACAACCAAATGCAGGCCAGGAGTTATCTCGCTGGCGTCTTGTGAAGGAGGTTGTCCAGACAAGCTGACTGCCCTTGCCACAGGAGAGCAAACGCTAGAGGTTTGCTTAGGTGTCTGCGTAACGTGAGGCTCACTATCATGAATTCCAACGTGTGAGACCGCAGATTCGTTAGCCAAGCTGGTATTAGTACCTTCTAGCCGGCTCAGCCGAGGGGCTTTAGCCTTCGAAGTTAGTGTGTCCGGTGCTATTTGATACCGACCATTTGTCTGACTTGCAACCAATCCAGCCCTGTTAAGTAGAAGGTCCCGGTGTATAGGGTTCCGAAACTCAACCAGGATAGGCCTTGCATAACCTTGGTGGCGGAGCATACTTGTTTCTCTCCAGCTGCCAACACGATGTACTCTTTTGATACCAACGTATAACGGTATTCCGGCTACACGAAGGATATCGTGCACTCGCCTTCTGTCTAGGTCCCGTCGAGTTTTAGTTTCTCGTATGACTGGCTCCTCCCTATTGTAGATAAGAACATTTTGTTGTCTACCCAGAGCAAGTTCTGATTACTTATACGCCGTTAACCCAAAGCACGCCAACGTAAGCAAGTGCAGTCTTTTAATGTCACCGTCACGCGCAAAGTCTGCCAGCCACAAGAAGATGCACTCCACCTACAACAAGTCCAAGGCCTTTCATCTCATGATTTATATGAACGGAATCCTGGCCAATTAGAGAAACTCGTTAAACATGGAACAGTTATCGGCTGAGCGCCGAGCGCTTAGTACCCACAACAAAGCCCAATCTCTTGTTAGATTTATGAAGCTTCGGAGTGACCGCACCGGTATACCCAGTACCTCTCTCATACTCCCTGATAAACGGGTACTTACGGATGCAGTCGATCTATGCGATTACGTAAACATGCACTTAGGTGACTCCTTCATTGCCACAGATTTGCTAGTACCAGATGGCACACCTAAGTTCACTGACGATCTACTGCACACTATCAACTTTAGCCTGGACAAAATCAGGCGAGCACTTCGTTCCCTGAAGATGTCGCATTAACTTGTTCCAGAAGGTGCCTCCATCACACTGCTGAAACTTGGTGATCCAGGCATTCCAGTAGTGCTTCTTAATATTTTTACCTTGTCTATGAAGAGCGGCTTCTACCCAAACATTTGAAAGTGCGCGACGGTTGTTCCTCGACATAAACGAGGTAGTCATCAAAATGTAGACAACTAGCTTCCTATTAGCCACACAACTATCGCCTCTAGGGTCATGGAGGGTATAAGTAAGGAGGAATTGCTTGCGTTCCTACTGCATCGTAACCCCATTAACAGGTCAAATCACGGGTTTCTGCCATCAAAGACCTGCCAATCTTGCTAGTTTGAATTTCTGCGTAACGTTACGCACACCATAGACATTAGGCAGGCGCTGGTCATTGTCTTCCTGGACGTGAAAAAGGCAGTTGACCGAGTCTTACACAAGGGACTTCACGCGAAGTTAGCCGCATTTGGCACGTCAGGTAAGCTTCACTCTTGGTTTTAATCCAGCCTTAGCAATCGAACTTAGTCAGTACAACTGGGTAACAGCCCTTCGACGCGGTTTCCTGTAACCACCGGTGTATTGCAGTGAAGTGTCCTTGGTCCCTTGCTGTTTCTACCCTACATAATTGACATTTTACGAGTTTTCAGTCACGGCACACCATACCCATTTGCTGACAATGTGAGGGTAATGTTTTCATTCGATCCTAAAGACATGCAAAACCGCCTCGCCTTCATTCGAAGTGCCCTCAATGCACACGAAACCTGGTGCAATTTATGGGAACTTGGTTTCTCACGAACAAAGTGCAACGTTCTCTCCTACAGGTGTCCTGTACTACCTAACAGTCTAATACCTAACGGTACTTCACTAAGACTCTGCTCCTTTGTCTGCGTCCTCGGTGTGCGCTACTCAATCTCGCTAAATTTTGCTAAACAAGTGAGCTATAGTTCAGCAAAAACACGGGTAATTTTTGGATACATCTTCAAACCTGTGCGCTTAAGAGAATCTGAATTCAATCTTTACAATATATGTGCCCGACCAATCCTGGAATATTGTTCGTTAGTTATTGCTAACGCAAGCAAATTCGCTAGCTTGGTGCTGGAGAAGGTACAGCGCTCGTTTACTAGGCGTCTACTGAGCCCTATTACACTCAGCTATCATGACGGGTGTAAGCAGATCGGGTTAGAGCCACTTTGGCTTCCCCGACTTAAAGTCAACTTCATTTTCGTCTATACCCTTGTCAACGGCTCTAACAAAGGAAGTAGCTGCTTTTTCCAAACGCTGGGTGATACCCGATAACTTTTAGGCAGAACACCACACACATTTTCTCTACCTTGAGCGCACTGTTCCATACGTTTTAACTTATTCCTCTACAGATACGCCAACGTATGGAATGAGTTGCCAGAAACCGTCAGGAAATCTGAAAGCGTCATATCATTCTATGCGTCCGTAAAGAGCTTACTCACAGTTCCCAAAGTAGCGGAAATAGTGGGCACATGCTTATCTGCAGACGAGTTCTGGGCAAACGGACCTACTCATATATAGCTGCACAACAAAATTAATCTGCGTCCACCTGTCATAAAAGCTACCTTTCTCCCTCTAGTAATTTTCCTTCCGTGCATTCGTGTATACTCTTCAAATACCTACTGCATCAGCTCCATGTAAGTTGAATGTGTTTAGCACTTCACCCCTACCTATTCCAGGCTCGACTGAGCTGCCTCACCGGCTCTTTAATTACAGCCAGGCGATTAAGGTATAACATCAGTTGTAGCACATTTCCACCGATAATCTTTCTTCCACAACTAAGATTGTTGCTCTTCTACACACCTTTACTTAAAGCCAGTTCAACTTACTCAGTTGCTTGTCCGCCTTCGCCTGATCTATGGATCAAAGTATGCAGCCTGGGATTAGCTCAGTAACGACTGACCGATCACACCTTTCGTCTCCCTGTCCTCGGTACGTGGCATTTTCTTACCGTTGTCTCAGGTTATGTGTCATGAGTCTCTGCTTGCGTACTAAAATTTTCACGTTTGCTGGGCCGCATCGTCGCTTCCTTCTGCCTAATGCAGTCTTGTCTGAGTTATCTCGCCTGTTTTCTGCCAGCTACTAAGTGACGGAGGTATACTGACTCACGTTTGGCACATCCACTGCTTCTCATTTCCCTTCACTTGATTGTCGCTGTTCCTCAAATTTTTGCTCTAAAGCCATGTTTATGCGATGATTCGCTTATCCGTTTGAGCCACGTATCCAGCTCTTGCCTCAGCTGGCTTGCTTGTTGTCAGTCAGATGCGTTTGTCCCGCACTGCCTCACCTGTCTTTGCTGTTACCTTACTTCGCTTAAACCACTAAGGCTCAAAAGCCTGGTTTATAGCAGATACACCGGTGGCATTTATTTTAACCTTAACCCCGTAATGGCTATTTCACACTACCGTTCCAAGCCCTATCATTGTGAGCCTTTGTTAACCTGCATAATTAATCTGTTAGTGATCCCACCTCACCCTGACCTTATGACACTATACCTGCCGCTCAGGATTAACTCAGTACCGGCTAATTTATCACACCTTACCCTCCTTGACCTCCGTATGAGGCTGTTCCTAAGCTTTGCCTCAGATTTTGTGTCCCGTATCTCCGCTTGCCTATTTAATGGTCACCTCACATCTGAATATTCTCTTCTTTCAGCCTAATCCCATCTCATCTAAGCTGTCTCGCCGGTTCGCTTACAGATTCTGGGCGACTGCGTTGTAGTAACTCATCTTTGGCGCTTCCGCTGCTCCTTTTATCTTCCGCTGCTTTGATTGCCGTTGCTCCCCATATTCTAATCTAAAGACATTTAATGCTACGATACGCTTATCCCAACCTCACCTCACCCGGCTTGCTTGACATTTGCCATACGCCTTCGTCTCGCATTGCCCCACATGCCTTTGCTGTTTCCTTACCTCGCTTATTACATTGCGGCTTAAAAATCTGGTTTACAGCAGAGTTTGTCGTGGAAACTTTTTGTTTTTTCTAACCGTAACCAGGCCTTGGAGTAACTCAGTATGACCAGCTTTTCTTACATTGTTGTTGCTCTGAAACTGTCGGGCTCTAAGCGCGGCTCTCTCCCTAGCTACATGACAACTCTCATTTTCCTTTCTACGGTCTGGTGCTCCTTCCTAGAATGCTTTTGCTGCCTTTGAGTTTCAAAACTGTTTGCATCATTTTTCTCACTTCTAGCTTGATGTGTTAACTTGTCGGTCTTTAATATTTTTTGTTTTAGACACCAACTACATTGAAACGTAATTTCAGGGCAACTAGTACTTTTGTATTCACCCCATTTCCAGGCTTTCCTATTTAGTTTCTGTTATTTCCTTTGCTTGCCACCGTCTTCTACTTGTCCTTCTTCATCCTCCCATTCCTGATTCTAGTTAGTAAGCAACCGCTGCCCGCGTAGATAATTTAGATGGTCGCAGAACACAAACACCAAATACTTCCTTTGCTGTTCATGCATCCATTTTACCATGTTGTGACGTATACAGCGTTTAGCTTCACACCGCATGTTGTCACAGGTTTCCTTGGTAGTCTCTGCTGCTCTCTTTCTCTTTACTTTTCTTTTCGCTTCCCCGAGATCTGAAGTTATCGACAGAAACTTACCAAGAATCCCATCCGGCCCTTTTGTCTGCGACCGAATAAAAATACAAAGACAAAAATGGATCAACTCAGCTCTCCAACACACTCACTCCCATCCCGACCTAACGTCACTAGGCAAATTGACCTGGATGTCCTTATGCAGAGGATTGGATCAGCTAAGGCCCGACAACAAAGAAGCCTACAAAACAAATGATTACCACAACACACCTGAATCATTCTACAACCACGTGACCCTTGGTCCCGCCTGTCAAACATCCAATCTCTCGCCTTTGGTTTCTCATCAATCCTAGGCTTCCCCGTCGACAACGAAAACATGACTTTTCCGTGACACTAACTCGGTGGTTCGGTTTTACTCTGTTCCAGCAAATGTTTAGCGACAGTGCTGCAGGATATGGTGGGTTTTCTCCTGGCAAGCGTTCTCCGTATAAAAAGCCATTGAGGTCTGATTAACAATACCGCGACAAAGCGGACGTGACTTACTACCTAAAGTCAGGGCACCCATGCTTACTCAAATAATCAATCACACACCCAGCACCGACGTCTCTTATCCATTCGCATACTATCCACGCGACCAAACACGACTGTATTGACACACTCAAACTGGTGTAACAGATAGACACATGCACTTCTACATACATGTACGAACTCACATTCCCAAGGTTCCTGGCTAAATTGCACCGTTTTCTACATTCCCCGACATTTAATTGTACCTTTAACATGATCAGGTCTTCATAGACGTGTCTCGCGTTGCACTGAGAATAACGGTTATTTATTTATTTATTTTGCCCATCTGATGGGAAAACAGAGTTGGTAACCAGCTTTTTCTACGCCTTGTTTATGTTACAGGAAATGGAAGTGAACCGTTGAGCACCGCTATTTCCCGCACCAACTTTAAAGGCTCGTCCACGTGTTACGCAAGCCGGCCTACTGACCCCAGCGATGTGCGTTGTTTGCGCGCCGGGGGTGTGGAATGAAGGCCGTCACTACAGAGCTGACATCGGTTGGAGCGTCTCGGCTCCCTGCTTGGGGTCCGTAAGACGATCAACACGTTTGGCTGAATTCACTTGCTGACGTGGCAAAGAGCCAACCTCAGTTGCATTCGGTCCGTGAGATTCTTTGTCCCACCCCATCCCTCTTAGCCTCTACTCCAAACATGACTCCAGTAGTTAGTCTTGTATAATTTTGCATAGTAATATTTTGATGCGCAGTAACCGGTTGGTAGCTTACCGGTACGATGCCCAGGATTACTCGTAGCTCAGCCGGCATGCACCAGTTGCATTTTTTCTTTTTCTTCCGTATATTGCGGCATAGTAGCTGGAGTGTCTTCCTACTCTAGCTAACGTGTATAAGTATAATGTTGATGAGCCCTAGCGCTAGTGCGGCAACCCAGTCACCGTTAGGTTCAGTACACTATTGTGCCCTTTCTTTTTACCCCTTTTTGACCAGTCCGGCATTTGAGGCGTCAAATGTCCACGGGTTTTGGGTGGGGCTTGGGATATTAATCAGTAATTCGTAACATGTAATTGGCGTGTCAAATAGGTGACAGTACAGAATCTGGTGGCGACAGAGCCCGCGTATATTTTACAGGCTACAAAAATAGGAAGCGAATAAACCGGAGCTAGAAACGGTGCGGCAATGTACTCACCAAAACGCTTTGTAGTAATGAATTTACGGTCGGTAAACCAAGTGGACGTTTTGAATTTAAAACAACCGTAAAAGCCAAGGTTGCACGATACTAAACAGTGTGTTTTCCGGTACACTACAAGGTCCTCCCTTTGGATGGCTGAAGGATGAAAGACTTTGATGAAACCGTTATTAGAAAAACGGAAGGTGAGCATGGGTGCGTAAAGTTGCATGAGATTGAACCACAGCTTGTAAGACGGGGTTTGTAGTAGAGTTTTCTGGGTCCATTCTGTTGTTATTTGTTAGTTATGATGATCGTGTGGTCCGGAGTGCAGCATCGTTTGGCTTTAGGTATGGGCTGTGCGGACGCCAAAATAGCTAGCTAGTCCAGGAAAAAATCGACAAAACCTTCTCTTTGCTGCAGCCCCGAGGGTGTGCTGGGGAGGTGTCACTCCTCCCACCGCACTTCAGTCCAAGGCCCTCGTCCCACGAAGAAACCTAAGCGTACTTGTCAGCAACGCCTAGCCAGGCGTGTGGGGACCAACCCGTTCGTGGCTGTCTGCGGCCGAGGGTGACAGGCTGTTCTTTGGTTCAGGAAGAGCACCTTGGATCGGCTCGCGAGCCACCCGTAGGTTGCGATGAGCCAGTTGGCGAGTCACTCATGAAGTAGCCTTTGCCCACCAACATGTTGTTGGAGGACGGCTCCTACAACGACGTCTAAGGCATCAGACGTAATAGAAAGGGGTGCAGTCGATTCGTAATGAGCGTGGCGGGCTATGTTATAGATACTATCCGTGAGTTTGGCGAAGACTACCGGTGCACTGTCAGGGAAAGCGAACCTATGTTCATTCCCTCTGAGTAAGTCGGTCAGCCATTATTTGTCCAAATCACAAAATCGACGGAAATGCTTGAACGAACTCGGAGCTGGGAAATCCTTGATTGCCTGGATCTTATCAGGAAAGCCTACGATACCAGAGGATGAGAAGAGGTGGCCTAGGAATTCTACCTTTGATTTGCCGAGTTGGCACTTACGCGGGTTGACTGTAACACAGTGTTAAGTCAAACCCTGGAACGGAGTTCGAAAACGCTCTAGGTGCCCTAGTTCCGATGAACTGGCTATTAAAATAACATCGAGGTGGGAATAAGCGAAATCCAGGCCACGAGTGACATCGTGGATGAAGCGCTGGAAGTTATGTGCGGTGTTGCAAATCCAAATGGCATTCAGAAAATTTCAAACAAGCCGAATGGAGTGATAACAGCTGTGTTAGGAATGGCATTTTCTTGTACAGGTATCTAGTCATAGGCGCGAACCAGACCGATCTTGCTGAAGCTCGTCTTACCTTTGAGGAATGCGGGAAGGTCGCGCATGTGAGGATGGAAGATCTATCTGGGACGGTTGGCCGATTGATTGCGCGGTAATCACCGCAAGGGCGCCGGGCACCAGATTTCTTGGAAACCATCTGCAGGGTCGAGGACCAAGGGCTGTCGGAAGGGCGGATTATTCCAAGTTCAAGCACGTGCTGAAACTCTGCACTATCCGCCTTCAGTTTCTCGGGCTATAGTCAGCATGGACTGCGTGAGACCGGGTCCATTCAATCTTACGGGATGCGTGAAAAGGGATGACGCGGGTTAACCTGCGTTCCTGGGCTGAACGACCTGGGAATACTGAGAAGCACGTTAGCGTGGTCTGCAGAAGTCTGAGGAAAGGCATAAACCGGGGTATAGATGCGAGATCGGCGGTGAGGTCACGTACACTGATGTTCGCTGCAATGTCGAATATCATTTGACTTTTTACATCGACCAAGAGGTCGAAGTGCCTGAGAAAGTCTATGCCGAAGATGGTAAAGGGGACTGTAGCAACGGTGAATACCCAGCGGCAAGTGAGCCGAAGACCTAGGCCCAAGATAAGCGACCGATGACTGTAGGTCGCTATTGGCGTACCATTGGCGGCGCTGAGGTCGTTGACAAAGAAGCGAGAGGCTCACCTGGCATAGGAGAACGACGCTGACCACCGCCCCGGTATCAACTAAGAACTTGGCCTCGGACTCGTTATTCATAATGTACATGAGACGACCTTGGGCTTTCCGAGAGCGTTAGTCGCCATTACTGGCCGCCGTGGCAGACTAACTTTATCGGAGTAGCTACCTGGCTGTACGCATTTATGTGCTTTATTATCGAAACGCCAGTGGTAAGAGCAGTAACCTGAAGCACCAAGTTTTGTGCAACGGGGCTATGGTCCAAATCTGTTGCGGTGCTTACGGTTTAACTTAAGTTCCTCGAGCTGGCGCATAGGCTACGCCATCTGCGATGATAATGCGTCTATTGCCGACGGCTGGCTGGTCGCGGGTGTCTGTGAGGTTGTGCCAGCACCAAGCTGCTTAGATGCTTTGTTTTCTGTCTCTGGCTGGTTCCGTTCGATGACCCGGTCTGTCAAATCTGCACTTGCATTGAGTGGCAAGTCAACTACTACTGCAAGGATAGTCCGAGTGCTTTCAGGAAGGCGTTGCCTCCACAGCTCGCAGAGAATCCCTGTGTCCATGTTGGATGTGCCGGTGAACTGTTGCGCTTCCCACGACAAAACTAAAGGCTTCCTATCTCCCAGTTGAGGGTCACTAAATAGTTGCTGCGGTCGGACCTTGTCAGAAAGCGTAATTCGCTGAATAACAGCTTGTGTAAGAGTCTCGTATTTCATTATAAGAAGAGCAAACTATGATGTCTCTCACCTGCGAGGATATCCTTTGAGAAAGGTGAGACGTTAGCTGCCTATAAATGGCGAAACAAGAAGCCATCCTAAGAATGTTAGTTACGTATTCTGGACACAAATACCATAACGAAGGATTACACTCCCTAAAAGATGGAGGGGCTAACCTAACAGAATTGACCAGGACAAACTCAACGGCGCTAATCGCGCATGGAGGTTGATAATCCTCTAGTTACTCCATGGCAGAAAGCAAGTAAAAAGCTGGTAAGTGAGAAAGCAATATGACCACAAGTAATGAGGCACAAAATCACTGAAGCTAGCTCATTCGAGTAAAAATTCACAATGGCGGACGGCATGTACGTAACAAGGGGTCAGTAATTAATTACTAAAATAAATAAATATATTACTCTCGAATTCAACGAGCCCTAACATCTCAGATATGATCAAGATTTACAAGCAGTTATGAGGCGCAACGGATACGCTACAGCGCATATAATTGTCTGTGGCCAAAAGTTGTACAATTTGCAAACAGTCGAAGTGCTCATGAGGTGCAAATTCATCAGTGGAGTGCTAATAAAATGGTTTCAAGTGTGCGCGGGGTAAATGTAAAAGCACGGTAGATGGAATGGGGACAGTAGATAAAGACTGAGAGTAGCTTTGTTGTACCTAACAGTTAAAATGTTGAAAAACGACTAGTCGGTATTCCATTGCGTAACAGTGGGCAGTGCCTTTATTCAGTGGCGAGTCACATCCGCCACATCATAGCGATGATAAACAGACTTTTGTGGCTTTTCATTGGGAGAAAGCGTGCCAGGAAAGAACCCACCACGTCCTATAACACTGTCGTCGATTGCTAAGAACGGTCATGTACCACTAGCAAAGCTTCTTATGAAGCAGTTGCTCATACAGACATTTGCAGTCGAGTGACTCCTCTGTTGGTTAGATAAATGGCAAAGTCAGAGTTCAACATGGACATTGAGGTCAATCGAGGAGGAAGCATGATTTTGTAGGTAAGTAGAGTTTCCAGTGTATGGGGGCTCACCTTCTCGGAGTATGTATATTTTCTGTGGTGTGAATACTTCGTGCCAAGCTACCCTTAATGGACATCGGTGGTTGAGTTGTTGGGTGCAGCTGGTTGGTATTGAAGTGCGGCCATGGTCCAGGTAGGCCCTTGTTGGTTATTTCGTCCCAGCTCAGACGGAAGCAGTTTCTCAGTTTGATCTCAGATCTCAAAGATGTTCGCCACCTCAGAGAAAAGGAAACGAGAGGAACAGGCCGAGAGAAGACCAAAAGGGCAGTCTTGGTGTCAAGCATTGGGGAACTTCCATTTTAACACATTTACTTGCGACAACTGGTGTGCAGTGTGTAACAGATATTAAGTTAGAGACGTATTTTCATCGCGCAGCAGAAGTCACGGCCCAATCGATGAAGTCCTTTCACGAAGATGAAGAGCGGGGACTGCAAGAAACTCACGAAGTATTAGCCTACGGCGTCAAAATTCAACCGGAGATCAGAAGGTAGGTATGTAATCACGTTTGGTTGCAACCGGAAACCATAAGATACAGCAACGATGTGGAGATATTTAAATATCCTCCACTGGATAAGGATTATATAAGATCACATAGTAATTATTATGTACATAGGTATATGAGGATAAGGAGCTGAGAATAATGAAAGCTGGTTAGGATTAAATGGATATGCAGGAAGGACTAAGTGCCAAAGGCAAGAGGATCGAGAAATGGCACTAATGGACTTGGTTTTAGTGATCAGAAGTGCCAGTTGGGTTAAGCATTCTAGTACTTAATGGATAAGTACGGTGTCAAAGAATAGGCCGAGAAACCAGCAAAGATATGTGATGCAAACAGTCTACAAGAAAACAGTTAGAAAGATAAGGAGGGGCAGTTAGCAAGCCTTGAATATGCGCAGAAATGAGAGGAAAGTACGCCAAATCGCGGTAGCTATGGGTGTTGAAGGTGAGAAAACCGAGATAAAAGGGTTTGTGGACAGATCCTCAGCGGCAAAATGTATCCACTTGGTTAAGAAATTCAGTCACATGTGGATACCTGCAGTGTAGCGGAACAAGTCACCCTAACCGCTGCGGTGTAAAACAAGAGGAAAAACGTTGCAAGAAAGAAGTGACTGATAACGGTCTTCGGATATCCGTAGAGTTGAGTGGTGCCCATGGCGACTAGCTGCAGCTAAACAGAAATAATGGCTCTAGGTAAGATAGTGTCAGTAGCTGGTGTAGCCATATCATTAGGACGTTTGGTCACTCTTGAATACCTACCGTGTTAATAAATAAATCAACAAGCAGGCGAAGATTAGAGAAACAGACATTCGAGAAAATTAAAGTTATGAGAGAAAAAGCGTGGCTCCTTCCAAGTTACAGCTTTGCACGCGGTGCATGGAGCTATAGTCGACTAACTGCTCCCGAGCAGAGTTGGCGAGAGTAAGGCGAACTGCAGATAAGGGCGCTAGGAGAGAGGTTAGTGGCAAGCAATGGTATTCGGATTAAGCCTTCAATTACCATTGGATCCTACGGCGGCACAGAAAAGGTCCCCAAACCGGCTGAGCAGTGATGCAAACAGACCAAAAGAATAAACATTTTAAGGAAGGAATGACTCCTAGGGAGCTCCGGATATCCGCAGAGTTGGACGGAGCCTATGGCGGCTAACTGCTACTGAACAGAGCAAATGGCACTAGAATAGAGAGAAGCATTTGGCGGGTGGAGCTATTCGATTAAATCTTGGTCACTAGTGGATACCTACAGTGTCAAAGAATAGGTCACCGAACCAGCTGAGTTGTGATGCAAACGATCCAAGAGGATAAAATATGAAAATAAGTGGTGGCTCCAAGCAAGCTACGGATTAGCTCAGAGATGCGTGGAGCCAACAAGTACCAACTGCTGCCAAGAAGAGTTAACGACAGTAAAGGAAAAAACAGATAACGCCGGTAGTAGAGTGAGCTGTGGCCAGCAACGTTGATTGGGATACTAGTCGATAAGTAATGACACGTGCGAGGCGTGTTAAATGAGGGACGCTACAGAAGCTGGAGGCAACAGGTCCCACGTATATTGTTCAGGCTACAAAAATAGGAAGCGAATAAACCAGAGCCAGAAACGGTGCAGCAAGGTACCCACTAAAACGCTTTGTGTTAACGGATTTGCCGTCAGCAAACCAAGTGGACGTTTCGAAAGTTAAAACAACCGTAAAATCCATAGTTGCACACAAATGAAACAGCGTGTTTTTCGGTACATTACAAGCTCACCAAACCATGCCAGTTCTTTTGCGCATTGGCTGCCATTGACCACGTTGCTCATTGATAAATACGACAGCCTCATAATACTTTACTCCGTCTGATGCTTTATCTATACGCCTGGTACTCCACACCGATTGAAATATCCGGCCTCTGACTGAGTGTTGCCTCTTGGCTTCCCTACCTATATACTTAGCTCACATTGCCGTCTGTCTCACTCTTTCGCAAGCTTGCCTATTCTATTCCCCATATGGCTTCATTCTATTACAACTCCTTGACTACACGGTATGCAGCAACATTCACATCCCCTGTCCATCGGGCCGACGTCTCCCTTATTTCACCAGCACTAGCTTCTGACCACTTGGTATTCTTAGGTTTCATCCATGCCTCTGTTTAGCCTTACTATACTGAGTATTGTCCTCGGCCCTCTTCTGATCGATATCGCAACTCTTCGATAGTGGCCTAGGTACCTCGAGCGCCAAAACGACGTCCCAGTCCCCAGTCCCAGTACCTGATCAGGCCACCATTGGCGCGCCTCGCATAGTCGAGAACAAGATATTTATTTATTTATTTAGATTCACTTTACTACTGTGCAGCTTCTTCCTAACCCTTTTGTACTCGTTCGGCTTCTGAGGCTCAATTGCACATAGGTCTCCAACCAATGCCTATTCGTTTGCGCATCGGCTACCACTGACCACGGTGCTCATTAGTATAAATAACCTCGTTTGCCCTACCATCTTAATATTATCTAATTCCAGCTTCCGTCTGACGATATCTGTCGATACTTAGCTAGGTCTATGTATCTCTAATATGATTACTAGGACTTGAGGAGCCCCTAGCCTTCGGCATACTCCTAATTCACCTCTACAAGCTTCGAATTTTATTGTGATGCCACAGCGCTCAAAACCATCCGAGTTGGCAACATATTCATTCCTTAATCTTATGCTTGATATCACGATGGCATTACCTTCTTATGAATATCTAGTCTCGGATTCCAAACGTTGATGCATGTTGCTCCATAGCTTCGTCCTTTTATCTCTAGTATGATTGCCAGGACCCAAACTGCCACCTAGCATGTGGCCTACTTTCATTTCAGCTTAACAGACTTTCATTAGGACTGAGATGGCGCAGCACACATAGCCATCCGATTTGCGAACAGCTTCCTTCCTTCACCTCATGTCTGATGGTATTTCGGGCTTACATTCTTGAAAACATCTCCTTTCGGATGCTAATCGGCAACTTATGCCGCCACTTATTTCCATCTGTTTCACAATTATAAACCCGCCAAGCGTAAGGTAGCATCCTAGCTCCTGCCTAACCTCATTCCACAATACATGCTTCTATTTGGATTGTGATGCCGCATCGAGCACAACCATCTGATTTGTTAACCTTTCCTTACTTCGCCTCATGCTTGAGGTCCCTGCAGTTTTACATTATTAGTGTCATCTATTTCCAGATGTTGGTCTTTGCTGGTTGCTGTTCCTTAATTGCAACAAAACACTCAAGTATATCTGTTAAATCTGGAGAGCCACCAAGCCTGTGACCAATTCCCATTTCCCCTTAAAAGGCTTTCATTTGAATTGCAAAGCAGTAAAACTGACAAACATCCCACCACCTGACGTTTTCAAATTTGTATGCCAATCAGTATATGCCTTCTTCAAATAGCGAGCAACGCTTGCTTTTACAATTAACCTGACACGCACCCCTAGTCTTGTCTACCGTCTAGCTGACTTATGTGTTTCGTCGTTGAAGTCCACCCCAAGGTGGAAAACTTAGTATGGCTTGCTGAAGCTGCAAAAATTATTCCACTGACCCAGGCTTGTTTGAGAGCCGGCTCTGCAGCTGTTGCCTCGCCATAGCTGTAGTACGTGGTCCCGTCTATTATCGCTGCCGGTTTCCAATGTGAATGCTTACTGGTACGTGCCACATCCCTAGAAAACGCGCGGCTCCTGCTTCAATGCCAATCCGGCACGCACCTCCGGCGTGCACTCCGTGAGACGCACATGGGTGCACTCCACCATATCACGCTTGTAAAATAAGGCCTAGAGTAGCACATTCCCGCACGTCAGCGGATGTTCTGGTGAAAGATATTCCAATTTGCCATACAGAATAACAAAAGGATAGTATAACTCAGGAACAGAAAGGTACGCAGCAATGTGAGCTGGTTGTCCACTAACCTCCACGCCTGACGCGAGGTGGGCAACAGATTCTGTTAAAAGAATAAATTATGGGCACATGACCAAGATAGGGTAAGTAGTGGTTAGGAGTATCTTGCTATCTATCAAATCTTTGTGACAGGCGTCTCTGGCACAAGGCTAACTACAAGGCCTGTGTCAGGGGTTATGAACTAGTAAAAATTAAGATGTCATGAGTTGCGAGCAAAAATGGAATGCGTTCAGCATCTCGCCAGTCTAATAGTGCTTCCAGTAAATAAAAAACGCATTTTATTCTCGAAGTTATCGAGGCACGTCAATTCAGGCATGATCAGAATTTGAAAGCAATTAAGTTGCGCTTTAGCTACGTTACCATACACGTACTTGGTTGTGGCCAATATTTGTACAGTTTTCGAAACAGAGGATGTACTCGTGAGGTGCAAACACGTCATTGTGATGACAAGAAACTGGTCATTGGTGCGTAAACATGAAAAGCACATTAGTGAAATTGATAAAGTGTGGAAAGACTATGCGTGTCTTATTTTCCTGGCGACAAAAAGCTGTAAAACGTTCTCTAGTCATTATTACAGAATGAATGTGAGCAATGAGTTTACTCAGTGGCAAACCACATCCGTCATTAAGCAGTGTTGATAAACGGACTTTCGTGGCTTTTTAGGTAAAGAGCGCTTTGTCAAACAACCTCCACATGCTGGTACCCTATCGTCGATGGGTTTGAACGGGCATGTATTCCGACAAACGCTCTTGGCAGCCATTGCTTCACTATTCCTCGCAATCAAATGATCCCTCTATTGACTGAGCAGATAGCTTAATCAGGGCGCACCATAAAAGTTGAATTTAATAGAACTCGGTGAATAATTGTGCAGGTAAGCTAAGTTTCCCATGGACCTGAGTCTCAAAGCCTCGGACATTGTATAATTGCTGGGGTGGGAGGAACCCGTGTCCAGCTATCCTCTCTGGTCGCCAGCCGATATGTTGGGTGCAGCTGACTGGCTTCGGCATAAGGCCATGGTCCAGGTGAGTTATTTTTGGTTAGTTCGTCCCATATCAGACGGAGGCGATTTCCCAGTCCTATCCAGGATCTCCACAAAGTTCTCGAGCTTAGGGAGATGGGAAATATAGGAGTAGGTTGAGAGAATGTCGAACAGAGCAATCATGAAGGTGAAATCCCTACCGTAAGATCATTACAAGAAATGACTTACAAGTGGCAGTGTATTCCGCTAAAAATGCGTCAAGCCTATGTAACAAAGCCTAGCCCAAAAGGTA